GAGATAGGTTTTGCAAAGTGCCCCGGTGCCTTTAAAATGTGACATGTCAGTAGAACTTAGTGTTCATTTCAGGGTGGAATAGCTAAATTGATGCCCTTGAAGGGAGTCCATTTTTTTTCATCCTGCCATGGGGATGGCTCTAAATGCCCTGTGCTGAGGCAGTTTCTTTTCCTGCAGGATTATTCCTATGAGCTCATCTGCATGACTGCAAGGGAAAGGATAGTGGTGCCAATTCGGGCCATTGGTGCCCGAGCTGTCCTGGACTTCCCTGAGCAGCTGGACTTCTCCAAGTGTCCAGTCAAGTGCAGCACCCAGAAGACTCTGCTGCTTCGCAACACTGGGCACCTGGAAGCTCGTTTCCAGCTGAGCACCCAGAGGTGAGGCAGCTCATCTGTTCTTGTGCAAAGGATATCACCTTTGGGTGATAGCAGAGTTGGGAAAGAGCAGCAAAAGGAAGCAGAGCGTCAGAGCTGCTGCCCTGCAGCCCTGGCTGGAAGTGAGCAGGATGGATGGCAGCTGCTCTTGCCTTCAGTGTTCTTAGCAGGATGCAGCTTTGAGCTTTCTCTGTCCCAGCTTTCCTGGAGGCTGCTGGAACATGTTGGCAGCTGGCTTGCACCCTCCTGAGCACAAGCAGCTTCTGAAATGCTTTCTCAGCACTGTCAGCCAAACAGAGCCATTCTCTGGGAGGCCACAGGCACGTGGCTTTCCAGGGGTCCCTGCATCAGATGCCCACCATGAGCTGTGCTGCAGGCAGCTGGTGCAGTTCCTGTTCCTAAAGCTGATCTGATTTCCCTTGTCAGCTGAGGGCATCAGTCACCTCTTCTGTTCCATGATGCACCTTTGAAAGCCAGTTTAAAATTTCAAACTGGATGATTTAAATCTCTGCGTAAGGTTGTGCCCCCTTTCATTGAGATTTCTTTTTGAATACTCTGAAGTTCCTGTGTTTCTGCTGTTTTTTCATTTTGGTTTGTGTTAAATGTTTGCCAAAAGATCATGAATTCTTCCTTGGGAGCTGTCATAAAGGTCGAGCTCCTCTAATGCCTCTCAATATACCACATGCCCATAGGTATATGCACAGGTGTATAGGAAATAGGAGACATTTAGGGAATATGTGAAAAGCAGTTGAGCTGATTTAGAAAAGTATAGAATAACTTGTGCTGGCAATCATCTGAGCAGACACACTGCTCAAAGCAAGAGCAGTGTCTGGGGATTGCAAGGTGCCACTGGGAGATCTGGACCTGTCTTTAGATGCCATCCAAGAAAACAAGCATACAAATGGACCTAGATAAAAAGCAGAAGAAAACAACCAGTTCAAACCCTCTCCATACCTTATCTTTCCTGCCTGTTGGGTGCAGTAGTGATTCATGGAAAGGGCAGATCTAAGACCATGAGAAGTGTCTTAAGGAGCAGCTCACAATTGCCAGAGAAAAGGCCAAAATGTAGCCTGCCAGCCCCATCTCTTGGCAGTGGTTTTCCTTTGGTTATTAGAGTGCCAGGGATGTCTCCTTCACAGCTCTTCTATCTGTGGGCTCAGGGAACAGCTTAGTCATGTTGGCTGAAATTCAGAGGAGTTGAGAGATGACTGCTACAGCAGGAACAGAGGAGTGTGGTGGGTACAGCCCGGGGTGGGATGCTGGAGATGCAGGGGCTGATTTGCACTCAGTTTTCCAGTCCTGACAACCGAGTCCTGGACTTGGCTGGATCCTCTTCTGCTGATCATTTGAAAAGAAGAAGATCCCTTCTTTCTCAGGCAACCACTGAAGTCCCCCCCCAGGAGTGTTATTGCCATCCTGCCATCTGAGGGCAGGAGCATGTAACATGGGGCAGCAGTGGGAATGGAATGGAATGGAATGGAATGGAATGGAATGGAATGGAATGGAATGCTGAAGTGTGGCCAGGGATTCCCTGAAGTGGCAGCCTCTCTGTTCTGGTGAAATTTCTGGCAAAAGAAGAAGAAAACAATGCTGTGCCTTGCCCAGAGCAGGCACTGATCTCCTGAGCCCCAGCAGAGAGCTGCAGCAGCCCTGGCATCAGCCCCAGGACAGATGCAGGAGCACGTGCACTGATCTGGCTCTGGGGCTGCTGGAGCCTTGTCTTTCCTCCCCTCCCTCCAAAGTCTCACGTCCAGTACATGAACATTGCTGGCCCAAGGCTTCTCCATCAGCCAGCAGTGATGTTCTCACTGGTGGAAATGGGAGTAGCTCAGCCCATAAGTGCAGCAATAGGTCCTTCATGAGCAGAACCTGAAGCAAGTGCCATGAATAAAGCTGAGCTTGCCAGATGTTCTCTTGATTTTTGTGTGTGATGCATTCATGCCAAAGTCCCCAGAAGACACTTGGAAGTGACAGGTTGAGCAGCAGCAAAGCACCGCACCAAGGCCAGGAACTTTTGTTTCCTCAGTGGGGCTGTAGAAGAGCACAAAGCCCAGCAGCTGCTGGGCAGAAGCACATTTCCCCTGAGCTGTCCCTGAGCATCAAAGCATGGATGAATCTTGTGTTTGTCAGGCAAGAGCTCTTTACCTGGTGACCAATCCTGATTGCTGCTGTTAAATCCAAAGTGCACCAACACCTTTGCATCAACATTTCCAACACATTGCACAGGGTTTCTCTGCTGGGCCAAGCAAACAGTTACCAGCGTGGATGACAACCCACAGTCCCAGACTGCATTGCTGGTAAATACACAGAAACCTCCTGTTCTGCTTCCTTGATTGTTGTAGTTTGGGGGTGGGGGTCACCCCGAGGCTGTGAGTTCGCTGGCAGCAGCAGGCAGGCAAGGAGACTCCACATGCCTTCTGAGGGTGCTGATTAGATGAGGGTTTATTGGGGGTCCCACCCCCGGGAGCAGCATGATGGTTACTGATGGAGAAGGGGGGAAGGGGGAGGGAGGGAGGGGGAGAAAGGGAAAGGGAAAGGGCCTAGAGGAGGGACAAGAGGGGAGAAAAAGGGGCTAAGAGAGGAGAAAGGCTACGAGAGCGGCTGGTCTCGCTGGCACAGTTTAAGAGGTGGATTGAAAGTGGGTGCGGAATCAGACTTGGGCCAATGGGATGACAGATACACAATGGTTCAGGGCAGGACCGCAGGCTTAGAATATACCACACATTTTGGAAGGGTGAGACAGAACATACCATTTAAATAAAATGCAATACTACAGGGAGAGGCTGAACAGGGCAGTTCCAGGGAGAGGAAAACCATGGACCCTTGGTTATGCAAGTCTCCAGAGTTTCAGCATGGTCTCCATGGTTCCATGAGGCCCCACCATGTCACAATGGCCCCTTGGTTCCATAGGACCCCACAGTGTCACCATGCCACTGTAACAATGGCAATATACTGTCCAAAGACATACAGTGGGAACTGGTTTATCTAAGGTAAAGTTGTGCCAGCATTGATCAGATGCACAAACAGATTGACCAATTATTTTCCTTTTATTATATTCTATAAAATCCCTTACAGTGATTTGAGTTATACGAGTTTTCCATGTGTGGATGTATTGATTCCTCTACACCCTATCTGTATTTCTTCCCCAATTATTCAATTAGAATACTAGTCTCATTTTTCTTCTTCCCATCATGTTTCAAGGATGTTTCATTTCTGTGCATAACCACAGTGGCCAAATTAAAATCTGAGAGATTTTCCCCAGCCATACTGGAATAGCTGATGTGAGTGTGAGGACTATGGCCAGGGTAAGGTAAAGATTCTAGCCAGAATTATGACACTGATCAGAATCACAAGGGTCAGCATTAGAACTTGAAGATCGTTGGTCCTATTGGCTCTGATGTCCATGCTCCTTTGGATGCCTTCTATACTCCTGAATAGTGGATCCAGGCAGGCTGTTCTTTGATCTTGATTGGCATGAAGGTTGTCAGAAGCACCTGGTGTGATCCATTCCACTTCTCTTCTAGACATTGACCTGAAAAAGCCTTAAAAAATACCCAGTCTCCAGGTCTAAAGCAATTAATTGCTTGATCCAAACTTCTAGCACTGGTTTCAAAAACCCTCCTATTAATTTTGTTCATTTGTTTTTCCAGAGTTACTATATACCACCTGAAGTATTCTCCTATTTGGCTGGTGTCTTCTCCCCTATATTGAGTCTGATAAGGCCTCTTATATAACATTTCAAATGGGCTTAGGTCTTCCTTAAACTGTGGTTTGACACTAATTCTGAGTAGGGCAAGTGGAAGTGCCTGATTTCAATGCAAATTTGTTTCTTGGCAGATCTTTGCTAATTGCTGTTTGATTAAATGATTCATTTTCCCTACTTGTCTACTGCCTGTGGATGATAAAGTATGTAGTTGCCAGTCTATCCTAGGGCCTTACTGACCTGTTGGACTACGAGGCTGTGAGTTCGCTGGCAGCAGCAGGCAGGCAAGGAGACTCCACATGCCTTCTGAGGGTGCTGATTAGATGAGGGTTTATTGGGGGTCCCACCCCCGGGAGCAGCATGATGGTTACTGATGGAGAAGGGGGGAAGGGGGAGGGAGGGAGGGGGAGAAAGGGAAAGGGAAAGGGCCTAGAGGAGGGACAAGAGGGGAGAAAAAGGGGCTAAGAGAGGAGAAAGGCTACGAGAGCGGCTGGTCTCGCTGGCACAGTTTAAGAGGTGGATTGAAAGTGGGTGCGGAATCAGACTTGGGCCAATGGGATGACAGATACACAATGGTTCAGGGCAGGACCGCAGGCTTAGAATATACCACACATTTTGGAAGGGTGAGACAGAACATACCATTTAAATAAAATGCAATACTACAGGGAGAGGCTGAACAGGGCAGTTCCAGGGAGAGGAAAACCATGGACCCTTGGTTATGCAAGTCTCCAGAGTTTCAGCATGGTCTCCATGGTTCCATGAGGCCCCACCATGTCACAATGGCCCCTTGGTTCCATAGGACCCCACAGTGTCACCATGCCACTGTAACAATGGCAATATACTGTCCAAAGACATACAGTGGGAACTGGTTTATCTAAGGTAAAGTTGTGCCAGCATTGATCAGATGCACAAACAGATTGACCAATTATTTTCCTTTTATTATATTCTATAAAATCCCTTACAGTGATTTGAGTTATACGAGTTTTCCATGTGTGGATGTATTGATTCCTCTACACCCTATCTGTATTTCTTCCCCAATTATTCAATTAGAATACTAGTCTCATTTTTCTTCTTCCCATCATGTTTCAAGGATGTTTCATTTCTGTGCATAACCACAGTGGCCAAATTAAAATCTGAGAGATTTTCCCCAGCCATACTGGAATAGCTGATGTGAGTGTGAGGACTATGGCCAGGGTAAGGTAAAGATTCTAGCCAGAATTATGACACTGATCAGAATCACAAGGGTCAGCATTAGAACTTGAAGATCGTTGGTCCTATTGGCTCTGATGTCCATGCTCCTTTGGATGCCTTCTATACTCCTGAATAGTGGATCCAGGCAGGCTGTTCTTTGATCTTGATTGGCATGAAGGTTGTCAGAAGCACCTGGTGTGATCCATTCCACTTCTCCTCCAGACACTGACCTGAAAAAGCCTTAACAAATACCCAGTCTCCAGGTTTAAACCAATTAATTGCTTGATCCAAACCTTTAGCCCTGGTTTCAAAAACCCTCTTATTAATTTTGTTCAATTGTTTTCCCAGAGTTTTATGTACCATCTCAAGTATCCTTCTCCTATTTGACTGATGTCTTCTCCCCTATACTGAGTTTGGTAAGACCTCTCATATAATATTTCAAATGGGCTTAGGCCTTCCTTACACCATGGTTTGACACTAATTCTGAATAGAGCAACTGGAAGTCCTGTTTCCAATGCAAATTTGTTTCTTGACAGATCTTTGCTAATTGCTGTTTGATTAAATGGTTCATTTTCTCTACTTGTCCACTGCCCTGTGGATGATAAGTTATGTAATTGCCAGTCTATCCCCAGGGCCTTACTGACTTGAACTATTTGTGCACAGAAATGTGCACCACTGTCACAAGATACAGTAGCTGGTACCCCAAATTGAGGTATAATTTTATTAAAAGTACTTCAGTATCTTCTAGAAATAGATTTATTTGTTCTGCATGGGAAAGCTTCCTGCCAACCAGTGAAGGTGTCTATCAGTACCAATGGGTACCTGTACCCCCCTTTTCCTGGGAGTTCAGAAAAGTCACTTTGCCACTGCTGCCCTGGTATATTTCCTTTTTCCAGTTGTACCAATTTTATGCTGTTTGTAGTGTTTGTATTATTTTTCTGGCAAATTGCACACTGCTGAGTGATCAGTTTGGTAATGGTATACAGATTATGGCCTGTTACACATTTAGTCAAATCTGCTTACAGTGCATTTGCTCCCCAATGAGTTTTATTATGTTCCTCTAGGACTACCTTCCACAATATGTTTCAAGGTATAAGAACCAGATTGTTAGGTGTAATGAGCACAGTTCCAATCTTGTTTGCTTCTAAGTCCTTCACCAGCTTTGTATCCTCTTCATACCACCTGAGAGCTGGTATTCTCTTTCTGTACCCATGGCTTTACCACCTGGTATCAAAGCCAGAGCCTCAGTCTGAGCCCCTTCTGCTGCCCATTTAGCCTCATGGTCTGCCAATCTGTTTCCTAATTCCTGTTCAGTCTTACCCTTTGGTGGCCTCTACAGTGCATGACTGCCACCTGTTCCTCTAAATTTACAGCTTCCAACAGACATAAAATTTCTTCAGCATGTTTTATTTATTTACCTCGAGCTTCACGCAATCTTCTGTTCCAGACAGCACCCTGAGCAGGCCCTATACCAAATGCACATCTGGAGTCAGTCCATATATTAGTCCTCTCCCCTCTTGCCAGTTCCAGGACTCGTAAGTGAATTATCTCTTCTCGCTGCATGGCTATCACTGCAGGTAAAGGTTTTGCCTTGATTACCCTGGGGGCAGTGGTCACTGCATATCCTGCCTTAGGAGTCCCTGACTTTATGATGCTGCTGCTGTGTGTGGACCAGGAGTCCTCAGCATCGTCCAGAGGTTCCTCCTTCAGGTCAGGTCTGCTGGAGTAAACTGTCTCCATGATTTCCAAGCAGTCATGGGCTACAGGTGCCAAAGTAGCTCCACTGAGAAAAGATGCTGTGTTACAGTATTAGGGGTTACAATATTAACAGCATTTTGTTCTACCAGTACAGCTTGATACGTCAGGAATAGAGGAGGGGAAAGCCAGTGACTCCCCTTCTGCTCTAACACCGCAGAGACCGTGTCAAAGTCATTTTCCTGCCCATAGTGAATTTGCAGGCCTCTTGAATGTTAAGAAGAATGGCTGCGATGGCTCACAAGCCCCAGGCCAAGCCTTGATTACCTCATCCAATGGCTTAGAGAAGTCAGTAACAGCTCTCTTGTAAGGTCCCAGTTGTTTGGCTTATGGTAGGGCTGTTCTTGAAATCTAGGGGTAACACTGTCCAGGTAACAGGGTCTTTCACTCCGTATCTGGATTTTCCCATTCAGAAGCAAATAGCTTCTGACTATCCTGGCTAAAGCCAAATGGGAAAAGGCATCTTTTAAATATAGTACCATAAACCTGATTACTTTTAAACTTGGTTAACAGGGTGTAGGGGTTTGCTACTGGGTAAAAATCCACCACAATTTTGTTTATTGCTTTTAAATCGCGCACTAATCTACAGCTCTTACCATAAGGTTTTTTAACTGGAAGAATGGAAGTATTATATTCTGATTCACATTCCATGAGTAATCCAGATTTCAAAGAAGTATTAATTATTTCTTTTCTCTCTTTTTGATCCTCTGCTTTCAGTGGATATTGTTTAATTCTAACAGGGTTGGCTCTTGGTTTCAATCTTATTTCTATTGGAGTTGCATTTTAGCTCGAACTGGTGTCCCTGCTGTCCTGGATATACTTGATCCAGGACTCCTTGAGGCACTTTACTTCTCACTTCAGGTTGCATCAATGTTAAGCTTAGTATTTCTGATTAATTAATCTTCATTTATTTTAGATTTTATTTTTTCCTGGCCTAAAAGTTATTCCAATTCCTAATAGTTCTAACAAGTCTCATTCCAATAATGATTTTGGGGATTCCAGCATGTATAAAAATTTATGTATCCCAGTTTGTTTACTTATTGGATACTTAATTGGCTCCAAAAAGTACACTTTCTTTTGTAGGCCAGTGGCTCCTATTACTTTTACAAAATCTTTATCCACTTGTATTAGTTCTTGATTTAACACTGAATGTGAAGCACCTGTTTTGACCAGAAATTCAGTTTCTTTCTTCTTGATTCCCTAGCCTAATTGCAACCATTGGGTCTGCTAGGGCAGATTTTCCCAGTCCCCATCATTCGACTTCTGCCATCATTGCAGGCTGAGAATTAACCCCTTGTCTGTGTCATAAGGGTATCTTGATGCCCCAAGAATCTGAATTTGGAATCCATAACCTAGGACAATTATTTTTCCTATGTCCTATTTCTTTACAATAAGCACACTGATTCTTCTGTACTTGGGCTGGGTGTATCTCTGGGTCCCTCAGCCCCTCCCAATGGGAGTTCTCAATAATTCTTGATCTTGATTTCTCCTTTACTGCCAGCAATACAGCTTTCACCTCTCCTGCTTGTGCATTTCCCATTTCTTCTTCTACTACTTCCAGTCCTGTTTCAATGTGGAAAGCAACTGCTCTGTACTTTGATTTCCAATCAATGTGTTTGGCTGAGGCATCAGTGAGCTACACAGCTTTGACTTCAGTCTGAAGTGAATGCAGGAGCACCCCGTACAGAACTAGCCTTATATGGGTGCTGTAGAGCTAACATGACTGGAGTCACAGCTATCTGTAACTTTGTAGGTTTTCTTGTCCTTCAGTGACATCCATTTGATCTGTGACCAACTGAGATATATGTATCATTAATGTGTACAAGGGTCTTGCTATTATAGAAAATCCAGGAACACGATTTCTCTAGTATCCCAGAGTACCCAATATTTTATATCCAAAACTGCCCCTAGTTTATGTGCAGATGCCTGCACATAAAGCGTAGCAGTGAGATTTGCAATATTTGGGACAGCTGCGATGAAATGTCCCATGTTAGCATTAAGCATTTGATAATCAATTGTTAAATGCAACCTCTTGCCTGCTTTTTTCACTAGCCAAACAAGAGAATTGTAAGCAGAATGCATCCTACCTACACTTTAAATGTTTAATTACATTGCAACGCGTTTCAGCTGAGTAACAGATAATGTTTTTTTCTATTAAAGCCAGTTAAACAATTTTTGTTTTTATCTAAAATTAAAAGTTTTGTGTTTTGGCTTCTGTGGGAGTAATCAAAGAGATTTTAAGCTCCAGCTGTTAATTACAAATTTTGAAGGTTGCCTCTTTGCTACTACAGCCAACTCTGCTGGGGTGCCATCTCTGAAAAAAGTAATTACTCAACATATGTTCAGATGTTTCCTGAGCAGTTATTAGTTCCTGGTTAGACATAATCTATAGCTCCTGGTTTTCTAACCATTGTTCCCTTTATTTTTGTTATGCCATAGGGCAATGTCCTAGTTTTGCAGCACAGAAGTGATGATTTAAGAGAAGCTGGTATCAGTTTCCTCCATGTCTGACAAAAAGAACCCATCAGCAATAGCTTTGACAGTCTGTAAAATCACTAAAAGCTGTACATGCGTCTATGAAAAAACACGTAAAAGGCGGAAAATCCCGGGAAGTCTCTCTTTCTTTTCCGGTCGGCACAGAGGTGGCAAGGGCCAGGCCGGGCAGCCTCTGCTGCAGGGCCAGGCCCGTCCTGGGGCGCCACCGGGCAGGGAGAGGGGAGTGCCGCGGGGCAGAGGCCGGGCTGGGCCCCGGCTGCCATTTCTAACATCCTGCTGCTTGTTAAACCCTGCCCCGCTGCCAGCCCGGGCCGAGCTGGGTGCGCCGGGCCCCAGGAGCAGCCCCGGGCCGGGGCTGGCTCGGGCAAGATTCTGCCGCCGTTGAGATTGACCCAAACCCACAGGCAGGGGCAGGAGAAGCCATCGGCCCCGCTGTGCTGCTGCTGAGCTCCGGCCTGGCTGCTGAGCCAAGGGCCGGTCCCCAGCCCAGCCCAGCCCAGCCGCAGCTCCGACCCACGAGCACCGAGCTCCTCGGCAAGGCTCAGGTGACCATTTGTAGGCCCCGGGCGAGATAGTAACTCTTTCAGTGCTTCAATTCTCCCTCGAGTGAGAGAAAAGAGCAAAATGCAGGCTGTGTAGAGGAGCAACACAAAGACATCAAGGCCAGTGAAGAAAGAGTCAAGCCCCAGATAGCAGGGCTGAGGACATGCCTTGATCTTGGAGCTGAAATCCTCTTGTAAAGCTATGGAGCCTAATGCAATTGATACATTCAGACTTTTCCCCCTGTAACACATTAGAAAGTATAGGGAGATAACTTGTTTGGCAAAAGCCTCCATGCTAAAGCAAGCAAATGTTGAAGTAGTTGTGATCCCATGAGAATTTGAACAGAGAGAGAGAAGAGTGATGAAGACCCTGTGCCCCCAGGGAGAGAAGCAGATCTCTGTTCCCAGAGATAAAGATCATTTTAAAGATAGAGAACCTTTGCTTTTGAAGAGCTCATCTTTAAAACAGTACCCCATAAGCTGACACGGCCCATAAACGGAGCTGTGGGAAAGCTCATGGAAAATGGGAGGGACTTGACAATTGCAGATTTCCCTGGGCAGCTGCTATTCGTAGAAATTGAGAGCCACAAGAGGGCTGTTTTTCTTGTGGAGAAGTCTCCATAAGATTAACAAGAGGGACTTCTCTGCCTAAGTGAACTGAAAGAAGACTGTTCTAGAGGTGGTAAACTGACTGAAAATTTTAAGTTTTGTCTCTTTGCATTGCCAGTAGGAAAGGAAAAGTTGTAGAGAGAGAAGTGTTCTGAAAGCTTTGTTCTGATTCTTAGTACTCTTAGTTACTGTTAATAAACTTTTCTTTATATCCTTTTAAAGTTTTGAGCCTGCTTTGCCTGGCTCCTAATCCTCTCTCACAGCAGAAAATGAGTAAGTGTATTCTAGTGAGTGCACTGGTGATTAGTGAGCACTGAACCCATCACACTAATTGGTGCATTGACCGGGAAATCTTAAATTAGCGAACCAAAACCACTACAGGCAAAAAGGTCTTAAAAACATTTTGTTAGCTAATTACAGATCTACCCACATATTATGAGAAATCAGCAAGTCTCTATCAGTCCTGTGTGCTGGTTTGGACTGGGTTAATTTTCTTCCCAGGGCCTGGTGTGGGGCTGTCTTTGGGAATTGTGCTGAACACAGGGATGATAATGGAGATGTTTTTGTTATTGCTGAGCAGTGGCCACACAGGGCCAAGGCCTTTTCTGCTTCTCATATGACCATGCGAGGGAGATGAGGGGCTGGGAGGGGACACAGCAAGGACATAGACATAAGACAACATACATAATACAACATGCTCAGTATGGAAAGTGGGGAACATTTAGAGTGATGGTGTTTGTCTTCCCAAGTTCCATGGGATGGGGCCCTGCTCTCCTGGAGGTGCTGAGCTCCTGCCAGCCCATGGGAATAGGTGTTTTGTTTTGCTTTGCTTGAGTGCCTGACTTTTGCTTTCCCTACTAAACTGTCTTTACCCCAACCCATGAGTGTTCTCCTTGTTTACCTTTCCAATTTGCACCCTGATCCTGCTGGTGGGGAAGTCAGTGAGTGGCCCCAAGTATGGGGCTTGGCTGCTGGATGGGGTTAAACCATAACAGCTGTAAGGACCTTAGCAAAGTCTGAAGAAGGTGATTTTCAATCTTTAAGCAGTTACTCCTCAGTAACAGCAGAGCATCAGTCTAGGATAATGCTTCCACACAGAGTGAAAGAATGATACACTTCCACAAGGATAAGGGAAGGTTTCTTGTCTCAGATTTCCACACTCATCAGGAAAGGGTTCATCCCTGGCAAGAGTCGAGCAAGGTGCAATGGCATCAGCTGAGGTCCTCTAGCTCAGTTCAGACTGAAAGAAGAACCAGCTGCTGGGCTCACCTGGAGCAACGAGCTCCAGACACTTTTCCTGAGGCCCAAGAGGGCAAAGCAGGAGTGGGAGCTGGGGCTGCAATGGCAGTGGCTGGCTGGCTGCCCAGAGCTGTGAGGGCTCCTGACAAGCACAGGCAGGGCCTTGGGCAGCACATGACAGTGAAAAACATCATCAAATCACCCTTTCCTGAGCATGTTCTTCTCCAAGCAGCTCTCTGAGGGGGCGGGGGGGGAATGTGCTTTCCAGAGCTGCACTCAAGACTCACGTCCATCATCTTCCCTATGCTTCCTCATAGCATAGGGAACAGCTGTAGAGTTGTATTTCTAAAATCTCTCTGGGAAAAAGGGAAAAGCAGACAATAGATGGATTTTCCGAGGCTTGTTAGATCCCCGTGTTCTCAGACACAGCCCAAGCCTCTGCCCAAAATGATGATGTTCTCCTGGAGTGAAACGCTGCTTCTCAGAGTGGGGAAACACCCAGGAGTCCTGGACCATCCTCCAAAGGGAACAAAGCCTGAGGCACTGGGATGCTTGGTTGTTCACCAGCAAGAACTCCAACCAGACCTGAAATCCAGGCGGGCATTCTTGAGGAGAAAGATGCCATACTGGTGGCAGGGGAGAAGGGACAGGGAACACAGGAGATGAATTTCCCTCCAGGAGACCTCTCTGGCTTGCCACACGATGGGAGGGGCTGTAGCTGCAGGGCTCTTCACTGGTCCCATCTGCTGTAGGGATGCACCTTCCCCACCACAGCCCAGATGCTCCTTGACTATTTCCTGGTGCCAACTGAAACTTCCCCATTGCAATATTTTCAGAGTGCCTTAAAATCTGCTCATTGTCCACAGTAATTTCCAGGTTTTGACTCTTCTCAGGACGTGTCCCCTAATACACACTGGAGGGGGATCCAAACAGAGTTCACCAACTATCTGCTCTGAGACCACCCTCACACTCCGCTCCTCCCCACTCTGTTCTCTTAACTAGTTCTGCTCTCATGTCTCCAAAAGGAAACAGTAGATCAGGGTGTATGATGATTTTGTTTCCCAGACATAGAGCTCCTGGCTCAACCTTCTCTGAGGTCCGAGGAGGACTAAAAGCTGCTGAGAGATGAGCTCAGCCTCTCCTTTCATTTTCAGATGGGAAAGAGAGACTATGGACTAAAAAGGAGATGGGATTTCACAGAGAAGGAGCTCCCAGGGAACAAGGGCCACTTTTGTGCACCACTTAACCATGAGGACACTTGGCAGGCTCCACTGTCCTTCCTGAGAGGAAGGACCAGCATCACTGGGACAGTGATCTTGCTTGCCCTGAAGGGACACCTTGTCTCAGTAATGACACTGGGCCTTTGGGCCTTTGCACTTCAAAAAGACCAAGAAGTGTTGATGTCCTTTCCCTGCCAAAGAGGACCCAACCTCAAAGCACAGTGGAATATGAGTGATCCAGGTCCTGAGCTGCTTTGTGCAGGAAAGGGACACTGTTCATGGCAAGCTGGGGTTGACAGAACAGAAGCCACACCAGGACAAACTGAGCACCCCTGAGCCAGTGGATGGGAACAAGGCCTTGCCCAAGGCCTGAGCCCAAGACTCCCTTAAACTCTTCCTCTGAGGCTCTCACAATCCTGTGGTCCTTCTCGCCCTGAAGTGTCCACCTCCCAAGGTTCAAGGGCACATGGGCTCTGGAAAGAATCACAGGATCATAGAATATCCTGAGCTGCAAGGGACACACAGGGATCATTGATTCCAGCTCCTGGCTCACCCAGGACACCCCAATAATCCCATCCTGTGCCTGGGAGCGTTGTCCAAACGCTCCTGGAGCTCTGGCAGCCTTTGGGCCATGACCAAGGAGAGCCTGTTCAGTCCCTCAGCAACCTCTGGGGAAAGAACCTTTTCCTGATATTCAGAGTAACCCTGCCCTGGCACAGCTTCAGCTGTTCCCTCAGGCGTGGTCATGAGAGAGGAGAGAGGATTAAAAAGCTCCTCCTACCCTCACAAATCACCAAATGGGTAAGATTGGAAATCCTTTGTTTCTGTTTCTGTCCATTGCCTCTCATCCCATTCCTCAGCACCACCAAGAGCAGCCCAGCTCCATCCTCCTGACAGCCACCCTTCAAACACTTGTGTCCATTGATGGGATCCCCTCTTAGCCTTTTCTTCTCCAGACCAAACAGGCCCGGCTCCCTCGGCCTCTCCTCGCCAGAGAGATGCTCCAGGCCTCTGATCATCTTTGTAGTTCCTCAGCTGGGCTGTCCCAAGAGCTCCAGGTTTCTCCTGTACTGAGGCACCCAGCATGGGACACAGCTCCAGATGTGCTCCTCTTGGGCTGCCCCTCCCTCAGAGCTTGGCAAAGCTCTTCCTAAGGCAGCCCAGGCAGCCATTGGCCTTCTTGGCCACAAAGACACATTGCTGACTCTTGGACAACTCTTTGTCTACCAGAACCCCCAGGTCCTTCTCTGCAGAGCTACTTTCCAGCTACTTTCCAGAGCTGTAGCAGGCACAGGGCCTGCAAGGCCTCCTTGGAGGTCAGAAGCCTGAGCTAGGAAATGCCAAGTCACGATGACTCGGCCCTTAGAAGCCCCTCTCTTCCGCCTTTCGGACCCTGCTTATCTCTCTGTAAGCCTATAGGTCACTTTCCCCTGACCCTTTCTATTGGACAGTTGTCAAAACCTCTGTAGGTTATAAAAACCCCTAATTCTGCCTGGTTCGGCAGAAGAGCTGTAACTGAGAACCTTCGTGGGACACCCTAATAAAGAATCCTGTGGAACCTTATACAGCGCTTCTCCTCTCTCTCCCTGCGTCTGCTGCCACGGCCACAAGCAAGCCAAAAGAGCTGATAATCACACAGAGCTGATAATCACTAAGAGCTGAAATCACTTGAGCTTGCTTGGCTGCCTGCAGCTAGGAATGGCTTGGGAGATCAGACCAAGTCTGAGCCTCCGCTGAGACTATCCTGGCCTCGGCAGTCCACCGGGCGCAGCCCGGCTGGAACCTACCGGGATACAGAGCTACTTTCCTCAGCTACTTTCCAGCTACTCAGGTCAGCCCTGAGCCTGGACAGGTGACTGGGCTTATTCCTTACCAGGTTCTTTGAACTGCTTTGGATGGATGGACTGCAGGAGAGCTGTGGGTATTCCTCAGAGTTTGGCAAAGGCCTGGGGGGGCAGGATGGAGAAGGGGGATCACCTCTCTGCATCTCCCCAGACAGCATCTGTGGGCTGTGGGAGACAACACTCTGTCATGAGAAAGGTGAGTGGGCAGGTGGATTTGGACACTTTTACCACATGTCAGGTCATGTCAGGCCATACCTACACAGACTCCTCAAAGACAAGAGAGCCAAGAGAGGCTTTGAGCACCAGCAGAGAACACTTCAGCACAGAGGAGGTTCAGTGCCATAGATCACAGCAGCTGAGAGGCTCAGAAAAGCTGACATTAGGGATAGGATGGATTGTGGTGGTGCATCTCATGACAACAGTCAGCTTCTTTGGGCCTCTACCCACACAAGGACTGTACCTCCCCATCCCCTCAGAGGAGCCGAGCAGGAGGAGCTCACAGGGTGGTTGGCCTGTAGAGCAGCTTCTGCCTTCAGAGAGATTAAAGTTTTCTTAATAATAGCCCTACCTACCTTGGTTGTTCTCCAGGTATGCTCTGAAAAGCAGGAACTGATGATATGGGAACGCTTGTCTCAACTGTAACGCTTGTTCCAGAGTTTGAAATCTTTGGGAAAGCTCCTGGAGTAATGTCTCCATTCTGCATTGCAGGGCCCTTGAACTTTCCTCATCCTTCTTTTCTGTGAAGAAAGAGCAATTCCACTGTGTCACTGGTGTTTCCTCCTTGAGCAGGAGACCAGCCGTCCAACACAAGCATGCCTAAATGCTCTGATACAAAACCCCTGACAGAGGGTCTCTGCTCAGGGCTCTCCTGTGGGTGGATTTTTCCTTCCTCATTCCCCCTTAGAAATCCTCACCTCACAGGAATTCCATTTGGCCATGAAGGCACAATCTGGAAATGGTTTTGCCTCTACCCTCACACTTTTAGCAGGGAGGGCCCATGAAATCCAGAGCAAATTTTCATCCATTTTCAACATTTCGTTCGTGCTTTCTATAGCCCAATACATAAACAGCTCCAGCTTTGAAAAGTGGGCCACACGCTTAATTCCTAGCCCACAATGCCTTGAGCCAGCAGGAATTGCAGGGGTTTCCCTGGACTCTCCTGGGCTCCTCCTTGCTCTGCCTTTGCTGGCTGCAGCTGGAGCAAGAACAGGACTCAGATCAGACCAATCTCAGCTGTCCCTGCCCTGGGGGCCAGAGGCTGTTCCCAACACACTTTGTGTCCAGCCTGAGCCAGGCCCAGGGGCACAGTCTGGGGCCAGCCAGGCCCACACTGCAGGCTGTGCCCCAGCTGACCCTTCCCCTTCCCAGCACCAGCTCCTGCAGGCAGAGCTGCTCTCCACAGGCCCTGCGCTCACAGACACATCCAGGCTCTGCTCAGGGAAGCTCCTCTCCCTGCTGATCATCAACAGGGAAACAAGGCTGAGCTCACATGTGCCCCAGCTTGGGACCAGGAGGGGGGCAGCAGGAGGAGGGCAGTGGCAAAGGGAGAGAGACAGGGCCAGGACTTCAAGGGGGGAGCCTCAGCAAGTACCAGGCAGTGAGAGAACTCCCAGCACACACCCCATGCAAAGGTGAGGGACAGAACAGGGACTCTGACCACCTGCAGAGAGCACTTCAGCATGGAGCTGTTCCAGTGCCATGGACCACAGAAGCTGTTCCCCATGGAAGGACTGTCCCTCCCCATCCCCTCTGAGGAGCTGAGCAGGAGGAGCTCACAGGGTGTTGGCCTGTAGAGCAGCTGCTGCCTTCAGATGGGTGAAGGTCTGCTTGGCAATGGCCCTGCTCACCTTTGTTCTTCTCCAGGTTACCTCTGCGCTGCTGAAGTTCACACATAGTGGTCTGTGGCCATTCCAGTGCATCTTCTACCAGAGTTTGAATTTTTTGGGAGAGTTGCTGGAGGTTCCTGTTCAACATTGATTCCAGGGCCCATACAAATTCCATCTCTTTGTTTCCTGTGATGAAAGAATGACATCACTGTGTCACTGATATTTCCTCCGTGAGCAGGAGACCAGCTGTCCAACACAAGCATGCCTAAATGCTCTGATACAAAACCCCTGACAGAGGGTCTCTGCTCAGGGCTCTCCTGTGGGTGGATTTTTCCTTCCTCATTCCCCCTTAGCTCTGCTCCGATTATTTGCACCTCATGCTTTGTGGACTCCTCTAATGTTTTGAAATCTTCATGCAGAGCTTTTATTTTATTGCTGAAGTCCTGGAAGGCCTCGTTCATCATGGATTCCAGGACCTTGTTGGTTTTCTCCCTCTCTCTCCTTCCTGTAGAAAAAGATAGGTGTCACTGGGAAACTGACAGTTTTTCCTTGAGTAGGAGACTACCCATCCTCTCTGAGGTGCTCATATCCTCTTTCTTAAAGTCTCTTCTTGAGGGCCTTTTAGATCTTGCTGCAGGTTATTTTTTTCTTCCTCTGTCTGGAGAAAGAATTACTTCAGAAGAATTAAACATTGTGCTCAAGGTGCAATCCAGAAATGGATTCTTTTTTTTTGCTTTATTTCTCCATTCAGAGGTCAAACAAAAGCTCAGACTTAGTTCCCTCATGTCCCGCCTGTTTACCAATTTGTTTGCTTCAGGCCTCTTTTTCTTTAGATCCTCCTTTCTTATTTGGCAGCCTTGGAAAAGAATTCACTCATGCCTGAAAAACAGAGATGTGGAATTCACAGGCTGATGCACCTGTGGGTACCACATGCCACTGTCCTGGCTTTCAAATCCTTTTCCTACAGGAGTTTGCTGTGGGAAGAAGCCTTGGCCTCCCTACTGTAGCCCCAGTTTTCTTCCTGACATGTTTTTCTCTTAACAGCTTTTGCCTGTTGAAAGGAGTCTTGGCACCACTTCTAAACATGGGCTTGGAGCTCCTGTGCAGCTGGTGAGGAATACTGGGAGGAGCCCCCTGGCCTCCTCACTGCCCAAAGGCCTGGACATGGGGGAGAGCCCAGGCCATGCTAAATTCCTAGTGTCCCTTGAGGGAATGACATTCCCCTGCCAGCATCCCAGCTGGAAAGAGCTGGGGGCAGGAGAACAGCAGCCCTTAGAATGCAGGGGGTGGGGTCCAGCAGGGGCCAGGCTGTGCTGGTCTGTGCTGGGAAAAGCCCACTGCAGGGACTCTGCACCCTGGGACCCCGGGGTCCTGGGCATCTGCATGGGGATGGGCAACATAACAAAGGACTGGCTGGGGGCCTTTGGAAATGGGAATTTATGGACAGGTGGGATTGCTTGATCTGACAGGACAGGGCCCTCATGCATAACAGACCTCTGGATCTCTGCTTGGCAGGGTTTAGCTTCCAGGTAGTGTGGGCAAGTACTGGCACTCACCTGCAGAAAGGTCCCTGTAGCTAAGCCTAGGATGAGATTCCTCCTTTAGTGCTCAAAGAAAGGAAATCCCAGAAGGGATGTGCTATGTCTTTGAAATCATTACCAGTTGTGAGGAACACCCTCTGCTAGAGTAGGATGTGTCCCAGGTCAAAGGAGGTCACCCCTGTGACCAAATTGATCCCACCCCCAAAGGCCAGGCCTTCTGCTGTGCTCTGGAAGGGGTTCTGTGTTGCAGCGTGCTTTTATACTTTGTAATACTTTGTAATAGTTTTGATTCTCCCCAGATGATGTACCCCTTTTTGTACCCCCTTCCTCTACCTGTGTAACCATTCTCCTGTGTTGAGATCACCCCCCAAATCCCCGCCTGCAGGCAACGTGCCCAGGACAGAGACCTCCACTGGCCTCACTTCTCTCAGGGATAACACATCCCATCCCAAAGGTTCCCAAAAATGGCCACAGACAAGATCAATGGGATCCAGCACACTTACTGAATTCATTGTATATCATTTCTGCACCTTTCCCAGCCATATGGAAAGCAAACGCCACAGCTGGACATCCGGTACATATGAAAATAAAAACAAAAAGAAAAACCATCAAAGCCCTGCTCAGCAACACCCCCTGCTAGAGTAAGATGTACCTCTGATCAAAGAAAGTGACCCCTGTGACCAAACTGATCCCACCCCCAAAGGCCAGGCCTTCTGCTGTGCTCTGGAATGGGTTCTGCAGGCAATGTGCTCAGGGGAGAGACCTCCACTGGCCTCACTTCTCCCAGGGATAACACATCCCATGCCAAGGGCTCCCAAAAATGGCCACAGACCAGAGCAATGGGATCCAGCACACTTACCTGATGCTTTGAACATATTTCCTTCACCTTTCAGAGCCATAGAGACAGCACACACCGTGGCTGGATATCAGGTACATATGAAAATAAAATCAAAAAGAAAAACAGGACATTTAACAAGGACCCTTCCCCAAGGAACTCCAGGACTGCACTGAGCAGGTTCTGGGGCAGAACACATCCCACAGCTGGCCCAGGAGCCATGAGCTCCTGTGGACCAGGAGCCCCACAGCAGTGCTGGGGGTTCCTGACCCTCGGGACCCACTGAGGCTCTCGTGGGCCAGGGAGCTGCCTCAGCTGGCACAGCACTCAGGCACCACACAGGTGCCTCAGTCCCACCAGAGCACAGCCACCCACGAGAGGGTGAGGCTCTTCTGCCTCGCACTCCAGGAGTGGAGAGAGAGCTCCCAGGTCCCTTCTGTGTCCCTTGGCACATTCATTTCAGCCTGACCATCAAAGTCCTGCTCAGCAACACCCCCTGCTAAAGTAAGATGTACCTCTGATCAAAGAAAGTGACCCCTGTGACCAAACTGATCCCACCCCCAAAGGCCAGGCCTTCTGCTGTGCTCTGGAATGGGTTCTGCAGGCAATGTGCTCAGGGGAGAGACCTCCACTGGCCTCACTTCTCCCAGGGATAACACATCCCATGCCAAGGGCTCCCAAAAATGGCCACAGACAAGAGCAATGGGATCCATGAGTCCACACTTACGGACTCAAATTGGCCTCCTTGGACATGCTGCCATGAACTCTTTTGTTTTTTGGGGTTTTTTTTGTGGCCATTAGGTTCATATGAGAAGAAAATGAAAAATAAAAAAGAGGAAGCTTCACTATGGTATTTCCCTAAGGATTTAAAAAATGCATTTAAGAGCTTTTTTGGGACACATATATCCCTTATACTACTCAAACCTCTGATCTACTCAGGGTTTTAAAATTTTATTTTAAATCTTATTTTCCCTTCCATCACTGTCCAAACAGAATACAGCTCTTACCAAGATATTCAGTCCTTTTTTCTTATCTCCCGTATCCTTTTCTCTAGGTTCTCTGCAATGCAAGGGAAAAGAGGGGCAAAATCTCTGTGGTGAGCACAGGACTAGAGATGATAATGCAGTTGATAGAACGTTTTGTTGTACTCTCAGCTGATCCCTAACTCATCTTGTCTGCCCTGGAGCTCTGAGAATTCTGACAGACATCATCTTCCTTGGTCAAAATTAAGACCACCTGCTTTTGCAGAGTGCAGAGCCTGGTGTTCAACCCTAGCCACAATTCTCCACAAAGGAAAGGGACCATTTTCCATTCCTTCAGACTCAGATCCTGGAGGTTATCCTGACCGGCTATGAAGAAATCTACGGAGAAAGGACAAGTGACGTTGGCTGGCTGCCAGATGCCCACCAAACTTCTCTCACTTCCCCTCCTCAGCTGGACAGGAGGAAAAATATGACTGAAGAGCTCACACACAGCCTGGGACATCCCTCACCAGTTGCCATCATGGGCAAACCAGACTCAGCTTGGGGAGGACTGCTTTGCTTTCTCAGCAATTCCCAATAGAGTGGCAAGCTGAGTAACAAAGACAAAACTGAAACCACCTCAGTCCCACTCTCCCTCCTCCTGGCTGTGAACACACCTGGTGCAGGTGGCTGGCCAGCTGCAGTGCCAGATGCAAGCTGAGCTCCAGCTGGGAGCCCGAGACAAGAGCTTGTGAATGGCCAGCAAAGCACAACAAAGGGCACCAAGAGAGGTGGCACAGCTGGGGGAGGGACACCGAGAGACCCAGCAGGAGCCAAGGGCTCGGGAGGAAGAGCCAGGCTTGAGCCTTGGGCATGCAGACTGTGAGGGGATAAAACTGAGGGGCTCCCTTGCTGGGGGAACAGCTCACGCTGTTCCTGTGTCACTGCACTGGGAATAAATGGCTTTATGGAATCAGCTGAGACTCTGCTCTGGGAAACCTGGGCTGGAACCAGGGAGGACATGGGGGTTGAGTGTGGGAGTGGGGGGAGTCCAGCAGGGCCCATTGGGGCACTGGGGCACTGCTGTGGAGGAGCACTGAACATCTCTGGTGGCTGGAGGGTGATGGCCAGAGAGCCTCGGGAAGGGTCAGACTGGGAAGTTCCCTAAATATCCTCTTCTGCACAGCTGGCTGCAGAAAGCAGGGCTCTGCTGACCCTTCCAGCAAAGCTGCCTGTCCCTTCTGAGCACGTCCATCAGAGCAGCAATGACGAGGTGAAGGCAGAAACAGGGACTGCTCAGGAGTGAGGGAAGCTCTGCTCAGGGCACAGCTCGCTGCTCTGCTCTGCTCTCCCTCTCCTTCTTGCACTCCATTTCCCTGGGCTGTCTGCTCCTTGTGACTTTCTGTTTTCTTTGCCCAGGGCCATGCTCCAGAGGAGGAGGAGGACCTGGACTGAAGTAAGGAACCCCTTGCCAAAAGCTGCTGCATGTCAAGAAAGCTTTCCTGGTGTTCAAGGGGAGGATAGACCCGGGTGAGGAAAAGAGCTCCACAGAGGATTAGAAATAGAGAAATGCCAGCAGGGACCCAAGAGAAGTCACAGCCCCAGGGCCCATGGCTCTGCCACGGGTCTAACTGAAGGTCAGACAGGAGATGCCAGGGGTGCTTTTTGTGTACCCCCTCTCTGACCCCTCCACTGCTCACTCACACAAGTCAACCTCACCTCTGCCCATCCTGTTGAGGATCTCCAGATACCCCAGCTGCTCTTCAACCTCCCATCCTCATCCTCCCTGACACTCCTCTGGCAGAGCCTCTCCCCTCCCTCTGCATTCCACCAGCACTCAGGCACAGCATTCCAAACCACCCAGGGACAGGTTTGGCTCAGAAAAAAATTATGTAGGCAGCTTTTGAGATCAAAACCAGCAATTTTGGGTGCTTAGGGGTTCAGAAACTCCCATTCAGGAGCATTTGGGCTAAGAAACTGCAAGTTTGGGAGCTCTGGGGTCCCAAATACTGATTTAGAGAGATTTTGGGCTCTGAACAAGCCCAAACTTTAGGCAGCATTTGGGATTGAGAAACACCAATTTGGGGAACATTTGGTTCAAAACCTGTGATTTGGGGAACTTTTGACCTCAGAAAGTCCCCTCTAGGCAGCTTTTCAGCTCAAAATTCCAATTTAGGGAGCTCTTGGGCTCAAAAGCACATATTTATGGAACTGCAGTACTCAAAAAGCTCAGTACTCAGGAAGCTTTGTGGGTCAGGAAAAGCAACCTGGGAGAGCTTCAAGGCTCAGAAACACCAATTTAATGAGCTTTGGGGCACAGAAAAATCAGTGTCCAGAGACTTGGGGCTCAAAAGCAGCAATTTAGGATACTTTGGGGCTCAGCAATACCATTTCAAGGTGCTTTTGACCTCAAAAATTGGCATTTGGGGAACTTCACAGCTGAGAATACAGGAGTCTCAGGAGCATTGGGGCTCAGAAACACCCACCTGGGGGTTTTTAGGACCTGGAACAGCATTTGGTTTCAGAAATACTGATTTAGGGAGCACTGGGGCTCTTAAACACAAATTTAGGGACACACAAGCCTATGAAACCCTGATTTGGGGAGTTCAAGGCTGAGAAAAAATCATGTCGGGAGTTTTGGGAATCAGGGAGAGTGATTTAGGGACATTTTCAGAGCAGAAAGAACGATTTAGAGAGCTTCTGGGCTCCAAAAATCCGATTTAAGCCGATTTTGGGCTCTGTAGTCCCTATTTAGGGAGCTTTGGAGCTCCAAAACGGCGATTTCGGGAGCTTTTGGGCTGAGAAACATCAGTTTCTGGATCAGAAGGAGCAAGCCGTGGGGAAACACGGAGCACGGGGCAGGCGCTTACCTGGGGCAGGGCTGGGCAGAAGCAGCTCCGCGCTGGGGTGCGAGCCCCGCTTCCAAAGCGGGCACAGCTCGGCCTGCCCGCTCCCGTTCCCCCCGCACGGGCTCCTCCCCGCCGCAGCAAAACCTTTCTCGGCTTTACACTGATTTCCCGTAAAGCCCTGGAAACTGAAAGTGGAAGCGCTCCGGTCAGGAAGCGGCTCCTTGGCCGGGCTGGGGGGAATGGGCGCAGCCAGCGGCCCCTCCCTGCTCCTGGAGCCTCCCGGGGCGCCGGGAATGCGCCGGGAGGGCTCTGGGAGCGCTGGGAGCGACCCCCGGGGCTGCCGGCAGGCAGGGCACAGGGCTGGAGTCAGGGGCGTCAGGGCTCTGCAGCACTGATTTTGGGAATTTCATGGCTTAGAAATCTAATCTATTTCAGCAGCTGCGGGGCCATAACAGTGATTTCAGGAGCTTTGGAATCGAGAAAGAGCAATTTTGGGGGCTTTGGGGCTCCAAAACACTGATTTTGGGAGGTTTTTGGCTAAAAAAAAAAAAAAAAAAAAAAAAAAAATTAGGAGCTTCGAGTCTCAAAGAAAGCAATTTAGAGATATTTTGAGCTCAGAAACAGCAGTTTAGAGAGATTTTGGGCTTAGAAACACCCATTTAAGGATATTTAGGTGTCTGAAACAGCAATTTAGGGAGCTGAGAAACACTCATTTAGGGAGGATTTGGGCTCAGAAATATCAAATTAAAGAGTTTTTGACCTCCCAAATCAAAAACCTGTTTAGGGAGGGGTTTGCTCATGAGGGCTGGAATACAAGCATGGGGGAGCCTGGCAGACTGACTGTACCCTAAATGCACCGCAGCAAGTGCTGTGTGCCTGTGGTGCTGAGAACAACCACTGGATGGCTGCAGACAGACCCTGTGTCCCATGCCACTGCCTGGGACACTGTCCTGGGCTTCGAAATGAGTGCTATGGGCACACAGTGCCCCGTGAAAGAATTTAATCAGACAATGGTACTCATTGCCAAAACAACCTTACAGACACCTGGCCAAGCATCAGGCACTGAGTGGATTTATGGCATCCTCTCTGATGGACCAGCCCCCGGAAAGACGGAATGATGGAATGGGCTGTGAAGATGACAGGGAGCAATGGGTCCTTTCGGGACTACAGCTCCCATCATGCACCGCGGCACCCACTGAGCGCCATTGCAGCCGAGACTTCATCTTCCGTGATGCTTTGCGCACCATGGAGCGTCATTATAGCCGGGCCTCCATCTCCAACATGCCCCGCGACCTCAGAGCCCCGACACAACCCAGTTCCGCCCCTACAAGTCCCGTCATGTTCCGGGCCCCAAAGGGACCCATAACGGCTCCCCAAGTGCTCGCCAAGGGCTTTCCGGCACCAGAGATTCCCTGCAGGTGTCCCCCGAGCACCCGAAGTGGCCGCTCACACCCACAAGTGGCTTCCCGGATCCCAAGTACTGCAGTGGAGCTACTTCCGGGACTACAGCTCCCATCGTGCTCCGCGGTTCTCATGAGGGTCTAACGCAGCCGGGACTCCATTGCCCGTCATCCCCCGCGCTCCACAGGGCGCCATTGGAGCTGCTCCTTCACCCCCCGCGCCCCAGAGAGCCCCGTTCGAGCCCCCCAAGGGTCCGTCCGGTCCCCGAACTGTCCCTCAGAATCCCTGAGTCCCCCTCCAAGTGCCCACCCGGCTCCCCAAGTGTCCTCCCGACCCTCAAGTTCCCTCTAAATTCCCTCCCCAGGCACAAAACTGCCCCACATGTGTCCCAGAAATGTCTCCCTGGACCCCAAAGTGGCCCCTTTTGCCCTGTCTGAGAAAAAGATGATAAAAAAGATGACAAAATTACTAAAAATACGACTAATTAGAATAAAGAAGGAGAAATCAATAGGCAATACTGGTAAATGAATTAGTGAAGGGAATTGTGTTACTTAGAACCAATGACCAATCATTTTTTGGTTGCTAAAAATGTACTGGGTTTTTTAATATATTAAAATTAGGTAATTAAAATATAGTATACTCTTATAAATAAGAAAAATATAATTATCATTTTAGGACTTAATAAAATTTTACTTTTAAGGAAAAATGCTTGAATTTTTCTTGTGTTTTGGGATGTCTGTCCTAGGCTAGGCAGTGTCAGACATGGTGAGGCTCTGGGTGAGGAGCAGCTTGTCCAAACAGGGTCAGCCCGCAAGGGGGGCATTCTTCCCTGTGCACAGACCTCCTAAGGAGACATTCAGCATCAAGACCATCTGGGGAATGCTTCTGTCACCTGCTTTCTGAACTGAAAAATAAAAAAGTACACATGTGCTTAAAACCAAAAATTGGGGTGCACTTTGTAATCTCCCTCCTTAACAGAACT